ATTTTGAGGCCGTCCCTACCCCCTACCCCCCCTACCCCCCCCTCCCCCCCCCTACCCCCCCTCCCCCCTCCCCACCCACACTCTCCTTTCGTTCACAGGCACGACATGGCACTCACCTCGTTTGGGGAACCGATGGAGGACAGGATGGACGAGCTCGACTCGCTGCTGGCTGACATTTCTGCCGATGTCGACTCTCTCGATAACTTTGACTCGGCTCCACAGACCGCTACGGTGGTGACGCCGGCTCCTGCTCCGGCCGCCGCTACCAACGATGCTCCCGACTACGATGAGGATATGCTGGAGGATCTGCTTGGTGAGCTCGAGGATGCTTCGCCCGAGCCCGCAGCTCACACTCAGGCCGCTACCCCGGCCCCGCTCCCGCTGAGGCCGCTACCCCAGCTCCGGCTCCGGCTCCGGCTCCGGCTCCGGCTCCGGCTGTCACGCCTGCAGCAGACAACGACCAGGATGATCTCGATGATCTGCTCAACGATCTCAACGACGACTCGTCGGCTGCAGACTCGGCCGCAGCCCCAGCTCCGGCTCCGGCTCCGGCAGCGTCGTCGGCGCCCGCCTCTACGCCCGCCCCGGCGCCCGCCCCGGCGCCCGCCCCGGCAGCGTCGTCGGGCCCCAAGACTTGCTCAACCTGCCGCCAGCAGATCGAGGGCACCTTCCTCGAGGCTATGGACACGACCTTCCATCAGGCATGCTTCAAGTGCGCCAAGTGCTCGACGGCGCTCGGCACGGTCCCGTTCCACCCCAAGGACGGCCGCCCGTACTGCTCCTCATGCTACCACACCTCGTTTGCCAAGATGTGTGGCCGGTGCAACCAGGTCATCTCTGGCTCGTGCCTTGAGGCGCTTGGCAAGTCGTGGCACGAGGGATGCTTTGCCTGCACCTCGTGTGGCAACCCGTTCCCTTCCGGAGAGTTCATTCCGCGAGGCTCCGACCCGTACTGCACCTCTTGCTTCCACGCCCAGTTTGGCGTCAAGTGCGCCGGCTGCGTCCAGCCCATCTCGGGCGACTTTCTCAACGCCTGCGGCAAGAAGTGGCACTCGTCCTGCCTCAAGTGCCAAGGTTGCGCCTCGGCGCTGCCGGATCTTTCGTTTTACGAGAAGAACGGCCAGCCCATGTGCAACACCTGCTTTGCCAACTAGCCGCCGCTAAAGTTACCCAGCCAATCCCTCCAGCACCTCGTCCACCGCCCGCACAAGCAGCGGCGACTCGCGAATCTCCGTCGCGTCCGAGAACACGTACAACTTGCTCAGCCCGGCCCGGCGCGCCACAAACGTCACAGACACTGCATTTGGCTCGCCGCGCACCCGCTGAACCTCTGCTGCGTGGATACCCAGCCGCGCAGTCACAACATGTGGCGCGCGGAACTGCTCCGACCGCAGATGCACCGTCAGTGCCACCCCAACCGACGCCGTAAACTGCGCGCGCTGACGAAGACCGGTCGGCTTGGCCGGCGACGACACCGCCCCCGCCGCGTCGACCGCATAAGCGCACCGGGGGCACCGCGAGAACCGTGCCTCGGTGTACTGCGTCGCCGCGCGGCTCAGAACCACCGCTTCGTGTGACTTGGCCCGGAGCTTAATCTGCAACGTATCGTGCTCCGCAACCAACGCATCGTATGCTGCGCGTAGCTCGTCGTGCGTCATCTCCAGCTTGTGGTAGAGCTCACGGTAAGAGGCATCGCCCACACGCGTGGGCTGCTCCTCACTCCGCGACTCGCCTAGCACCGCCAGCGACGAGTTGATCGACGCTTCGAGTTCGGCCCGGATCTCCAGCCGAGACGCGTTGACCTCGTCAGCCACCTGACGCCGCTTGAGCATCTCATACTCGGCGAGTACGTCCAGGGCACCCGCGTGCGGCGTGCCACGTGCCTCGTTCTTGACCCCATTTCGCTCGTAGACAGCCCGCGCTGGAGACATCGCCGCACGATCCACCTCAGCCACGGCAAGCTGCTCGCGCAGCTCACGCTCACGCTCGTGCGAGGCATCCATCTCATTGAGTGCCTCCTGAAGCTGTGTGAACAGCTCGCCGTTGCGAGTGCGCATCTGCGACAAGTCGCGCTCGATGGCATCAATGTCACGGAGTGCGCTCAGCCGCCGCTCGCGCCGGGCGATCTTGCGCTCCAGCTCCCGGAGCTGCTCCTCCACGTCGCGGGTCTGCTTCATGAGCACAGAGCTGGTCACTGCAGCCACTGCATACTCGATGTGCAGCTCCAACGCGCGTCGTGCCGTCGCCTCTTCCGCCTGAGTCTTGGCCAGTACACCCTCAAACGCGTCGGCGAGGTCGTCTGGCGAGCCCACCACAAGCCGCGAACGGAGCTCAGCCTCCAGTGCACCTGCGTCCTGGGCCGCACGCTCGGCACGTGCGAGTGCATCACGAACCTCGGCCGCGTCACTTGCCGCTGCCTCGGTCGCTTCGCGCGCTGCTTCAAGCTCCTTCTCCAAATACGCCACCCGGACCCGGGCTGTCTGCTCAGAAGCGCTCGACTGCGCGAGCTGGGCCACCGCCTGTTCTGCTGCAGTACGCGAGTTCTCCAGCTCAGCCTCCAGCTCGGCATGGATGCCGGCAAAGGCATCGGCCCGCGCGCTGGCTGCCGCCACAGCCTCGGCTGCCGCCGCGGCATCAGCCCGTGCTGCCGCCGCATCCGTCTCGGCCGAGCGCGCATGCGCCATCAAACGCTCGAGTTCGGCCTGCAGCCGGGTGCTGTTTCGTGCAGCTTCGGTCGCCGCGGTCTGGCTCTCGGCAAGCTTGCCACGGAGCGTGGTCAGCTCGCTGCGCAGGCTTCGTGCGCTCTTCTCAGCCTCCTCGGCGCGCGCACGCTCGCGAACAAGATCCGTTCGAGCCATGCGCTCGGCCGCGCCAAGCGAAGCCTGCCGCGACGCCGACTCGGCGCCATTCGAGCCCGTGTGCTCGCCTCCGCCTCCACCTCCGCCTCGGGTCGCTTTGGCGGCAAGCGCGGCCTTGTTGGCAGTGTCGACTTCGAGCAGCAGCGACTCGCGGTCGGCGGCCATGGCCTCGAGCTGGTGTACCATGTCCTGCGCCGTCGCCCGCAGCGAGTTGACCTCAGTCTCGTGCTGCGCGTCGGCGGTATTCATCGCCACAAGCAGCTCCGAAAGCAAGTCGTCATACTGCCCGGAAAGGGCACGCTCGAGCGCGAGGAGGTCCGGTGCCTGACGGTCGCGCGCATCCTGCACAGCCACCACAAGCTCGCCCAGCTCGGTCATGAGCGGGCCAAGCGCCGCAAGCGCCGACGAAGCGGTCGGGTTCGCCGCCTCTGCCGCCGCCTCCAGGCTCACCTTGTGCTGAGCCGTGAGCTCGGCAACACGCTGCTGGTACTGCGCAATCTGGTCGCGGAGCGAGGCGATCAGCAGCTCGGCAGCTGCCGCCGCCGCACGGGCAGCATTGGCATCGGCCTCTGCGTGCTCGGTCGCTTCCCGACTCGCTGCCAGCTGCGCCGCGAGGCTCTCAGCCTGATCGACGGCACCCGACGCGGCGCGGAATGCATCACGTGCCTCCGCGAGCTCGTTCTCGAGTGTGCGGAGCCGGGCGCTGAGATGCTGCCGCTCGGCGGCGGCTGCATCGGCCTCGTCGCGAGCCGAGACCGCAGCAGCGCGCTCCGTTGCAAGCGCTCGTTGCAGTCGCGAGTTCTCGTCCAGCGCCGCGCTGAGCGAGTCCTCCAGTCGGGCTGCCGCAGACGCGTCGGCAACCCGCTTTGCCTGTAGCTCGCGGAGCCAGGTCGACTCGGCGTCGTCCTTGGCCTTGAGTGCCTGCTCGAGGCGCGACACTGCAGACGCCGTCTCGCTTCGCCATGCCGTCTGACTCTCGGCCAGCGCTCGTGATGGAGGCGTGGCTGGAGCTGCTGCAGCCGCCCGCGCCTCGGCATCTTGCGCCGCGACCTCAAGCTCCGCTTGCGTCTGGAGTGAAGCCGAGAGCTGCGCCTGGCTCTCAGCGAGGCGAGAGTTGGCAGTATCGAGCGCGGCTCGAAGCGAGACAAAAGCGGTCGATAGCTTGGTAAAGCCGTATGAGGTCAGCCGGCCGTCCTTGGTGTCTGGCAGCGAGAAGCCTTGCGAGGCAAGCTCGGCGAGCAGCTCGGGGTCGACCTCGATATAGTGCGACGACATGCCGGCAGCCGAGCCCGAACTGGAGACGAGCGCAGTTGTCTGCGACCGAGGCACGAGCTCGGCGTCGGCAGCCGGTGCGAGCAGGGTGTGGGCGTGGGCAACCGCCTCGGCCGAGGCGGCAGCCTGGGTGTCGAGCTCGCGCTCAAAAGCCTTGAGCTTGGCTAGATAGTCGGCCATTTCTGGCAGCTCTGCTGGCGACGGCGTGGTGAGCGGGCGGCCAAGAACGGCCGACGAGCCCGAACGGCGCATCGTTGGCGATGAGCCACCGGGAACGAGGAGCCCCTGTACCACCGGAGGCGAGGCGAGGACGCCGTACTCATCATCAATAGGCACACCGAGCTGGTGGTTGACAGCGTGCAGATCACCGAGCAGCGAGCGGAGCTCGCCCATAAACTCGGCGTCGGCGCGAAGCCACTCCTGGCGATCCTTCTCTACAAGGTCGAGCTCCTTGCCGGTCGCACACTTGGCGATGACTTGCAGCTGATCCTGCAGCGACCCGTTGTGGGCCTCCATCGACTCGACACGGTCGTTGAGGGCATCAAGGACTTCCAGCGACGATGCGTGTAGCTTCTTGCGGGCCTCGAGAGCAGTCTGTGTCGTCTCAAGCTCGGCGGCAAGCTGGGCGCTCTTTTTGCGCTCGGCTTTGAGCTCGGCGCTGACGCCTTCGGCCAGATGCAGCTGCTGCTCGGTGGCGGCGGCTGTGCGGGCAGATGCCTCGCGCTCGGCCTCCAGCTCGATGATGCGGGACGAGGCCAGGGCGGCATCGGCGGAGGCGGCCTCAGCGGCGGCGATGGCAGTTGCAGCGTCGGAGGTGGCGGCATCGGTCTGGGCCTCAAGAACGGCAATCATGTCGCGGGCGACGGCGTGGCGAGTCTTTTCGTCAGCGAGCTCCTTGGCAGTGCTTGTTGCGGTTGCGACGACGGCGGCATGCTCGGCATCGAGTGCATTGAGCTTTGCAAGGGCGTCGTCGCGCTGTTCGAGGAGGGCGGCGTTGGCTGTGCGGAGGGCGTCGAGCGACGATGAGATGTCGTCGAGCGAGGCGCGGTCGTTGGCGAGTTGCTGCTCGAGCATAGCCTCGCGAGCAGCCGAGTCGGCAGCGGCGTTCTCTGCGGTGACGAGGGCATCCTTGGCGGCAGCAAGCTCGTCGCGGAGCCTGTTGGCACGCAGCTCCTCCTTGCGCAGCTGCTCGCGGGTGATCTCGTCCATGCGAGCCTTGGCATCCTCGTGTAACGAGGCAAGCTTCTGCTGATGTTCGATGGCCTCGCGCTTAACTTTTGCGTTGTCGAGCAGCAAGGTGTTCGAAGCGGCATGGGCCTCTTCGAGTTCGGCCTGAAGCGTCTCGATCTTGGCCTCGACAGCGGCGCGCGCGTCGGCGGCATTGTTAGCGGCAGTGGCGGAAGTGGCGGCCTTGTTGAGAGCGTCTCGGGTCGCCGAGGCGGCGGCAGAAAGCTCGGCCTCGAGAGTCTGGATGGATGCGCGCTCCGACGTAAGCTCGGCATGGGCCTTGTCGAGCTTCTTCTGGAGAGCGGCGAGATCGGCTGCGGCCTCGGCGAGCTCCTCGTGGAGCTGTACATTGTCCTCGGTCAGCGCGGCGTTGGCTGCGGCTAGGCGCTGAAGCGCAGAGCCGGCCTCGCGGTTGAGCTCGGTTGCGGTGGTGAGCGGGAGGGCGAGGACATCAGGGTCAATGCGGTCTGCGAGGACGGAGGACGTGAGGTCGTCGAGGGTGGCGCAGAGGGCGGAGAACTCAGCGGGAAGGTCTGCGGCGTCGGACGAAGTGGCAACGACGGAGGCGTCAGTGCGGAGCGAGGCCGTCGACCTGGCAGCCGCGCTTAAGGTAGCCTCGAGCGCATTGATCTTTGCGAGGTACTCGGCAGCCTCGACGGCAGCGGTGGCTGAGGCAGCGTTCGCCTCCTGGGCAGCGAGGAGGGCAGTGCCGAGGAGGTTAATGGTGGCCTCGAGAGGGTCGTTGAGCGAGACGGTGGCCGGCGGGGTGATGTCGACAACGCGGGCGTCAACAACTGACGCATCCTTGAGCATGCGCGAGAGGACCAGGGGAGCGAGTGCCGGATCGAGCTTGGTGTCTGTTAGGAGCTGGAGAAGAGCACGATAGATGTCAGTGGAGGCGGCCGAGGCGTCCTCGAGAGCCTGGGCTAGCTCGCGGACCTGGTCATCGTGCTCGCGCTCAAGCGCTGTCAGTGCGTCCTCTGTGCTGCGCAGGACGTCCTCAACCCAGGCTGCCAGACGAGCTGGGTCGTCGGGCAACGGAGTATCGGTGTGGTGGGCGACGACGTCGGAGAGAGCGGCGACGGTGGCAGCCGCGGCGTCGCGCTCCAAGCTTGTCTCGTTGAGCGTCTCTTGTAGCCCGGTGGATGCGTTGTTGAGCGCGACGACGGCGTCTTCCAGCTCGGCGGCGGTGGCGTCTAGCTCGGATATCTTGGCCTCGTGCTCGATAACAAGTGATTCGAGCTCGGAGACCCTAGCATCCTTCTGGGTAATGGTGGCGTCACGCGCGTTCAGAGCCTCGTCACGACTCGCACTCGAAGCCTCCAGCGACGCAATGGTAGCGTCGCGGTGTGCAACATTGGACTCTAGCTCGGAGATCTTGGTCTCATTCTCGACCGCGGTAGACTCGAGCTCAGAGATCTTGGTCTCGTTGTCGGCCACCGTCGACTCAAGCTCGGAGATCTTGGTCTCCTTGTCGGCCACCGTCGACTCAAGCTCAGTGATCTTGGTCTCCTTGTCAGCCACTGTCAACTCGAGCTCGGAGATCTTGGTCTCATTCTCGACCGCGTCGACTCAAGCTCAGTGATCTTGGTCTCGTTGTCGGCGATGATGGCCTCCTTGTCGACCACAGTCGACTCGAGCTCAGTGATCTTGGTCTCGTTTCGACCGCGGCGGACTCGAGCTCAGAGATCTTGGTCTCATTCTCTACCACAGTCGACTCAAGCTCAGTGATCTTGGTCTCATTCTCGACCGCGGCGGATTCGAGCTCAGTGATCTTGGTCTCGTTGTCAGCCACAGTCGACTCAAGCTCAGTGATCTTGGTCTCGTTGTCAGCCACCGTCGACTCGAGCTCAGAGATCTTGGTCTCATTCTCGACCGCGGCGGACTCGAGCTCAGAGATCTTGGTCTCGTTGTCGGCGATGATGGCCTCCTTGTCGACCACAGTCGACTCAAGATCAGATATCTTGGTCTCCCGGTCAACAATCACGGCCTCCTTGTCGGCCACTGCAGACTCAAGCTCCGCGACCGTGCTCTCCCTGCTGGCAAGCGTGCTTCCGTTGTCCGCCACGGCAGACTCCAACTCCGAAATCCTTCTCTCCTTCTTGGTGAGCTCTGCCTCGCTCCGTGCCACCGTGGACTCGAGCTGAGAGATCTTGTCCTCCTTGTCTGAAACCGTTGATTCCAGCTGTGAGACCTTGGCCTTGCTGTCTGCAAGTGCGACATCGCGCTCGCAAAGTGCAGTATCTTGGTCGGCGCCGATGCTCTTCAGTGACGCGATGGCTGCGTCCCTCTCGGCCACTACACTCTCCAACTCGGCGACTTGGGTGTCCTTCTTCTCCATGGCAGCCACACGTTCGAGCGCCGCTGCCTCGAGCTCAGTGATAATGGTATCCTTCTCGGCGATCATGGCGTCTCGTGCACCCATGGCGGCCTCGAGCTCAACTACCGTTGCATCTCGAGCAGCCACAGTCGCGTCGCGCTCGCTCACTGCGGCTTCCAGCTCAGTGATCTTGGCAGCCCGCTCACTCGCAGCCGTGTCGCGGTTGGCTCCGATGCTTTCGAGTGACGCAATGGCTGCTTCCAGCTCGGATATCTTGCTCTCCTTCTCGGCCACGGCCACATCTCGCTTGCCCACTACGGCCTCCAGCTCGGCAATGGAAGCCTCGTGCTTTGCAACTACCTGCTCCAACTTGGCAATCTGGGCCTCATCGTCGGCAATCGCGGAATCGCGCTCAGAGCCCGCGCTCTTGAGCATCGCGATCGTAGCTTTGTACCCGCCACGGTGTTCTCCAGCTCGGACGTGCGAGCTGCTGACTCTGCAACCTGTGACTCGAGACCGGCCTTTGTGTCGGCCGAAGCTTGCAACAGCTGCTGCAGCCGCGCCGCAGCATCGGCCCGTACTGCCTCGTCGTCCGAGTCGACTGCCTCGGCCCCGTGTGCAGCCATCGTCTCCTCGATCGACCCAAGCAAGGCGGCATGTGTCGCCGACTTGGCCTTCAGGTCGCGCAGCTTGGTGTGCAGCTCGGCAATGGTATTGTCTGCGTCCGATGCAGTCGCAGCCTGCACCTGAGCCTCCATGAGAGTCATGCCCAGCATCTCTAGTGTTGCCTCGAGTGACTCTGCCGACGGGATCCCGGCCACTCCATCGATCGTCGCGGCATGGCCTTGGATCTCGCCCAGCACCGCAGGTGTCATCGATGCTTTGCTGGCCTCGTGGATGCCGGCTATAGCCGTCTGGAGTGAGTGTTGCATGTCGCTTTCGGCTGCCTCGAGGCTCTCCACCTTGGCCTGCAGCACTGCTTTGTCGGCATCGGCGTCTCGCACGCTTCCGTCCAACTCATGGACTCGTGACTCAAGCTCGGCAATCGTCCACGCAGATCGGCATCCGATTCGGTCGCTGCCTGCAGCGCCCGCGCAGAAATCGCGTCCTTCTCAGCCTGTGACAATGCAGCCGCCTCGGCTTCCGACGTCAGCGACGCCACCTGTGCCTCCAGCTCAGCGACACGAGACCGGAGCGCATCGCTCTCGTCAGGCTGTGCCTCGGGCTCGGGCTCAGGCTGTGTCCCGAGCTCGGGCTCGGGCTCGGGCTCAGGCTCGGGCTCGGGCTCAGGCTCGGGCTCGCGGTCAGTCTTGAGCGAAAGGCCTTCCTTCGCCTTAGCTTCGGCCTTGCGAAAGTACGAGACGTAGGTGATGACCGAGAGGTCGTCGAGCGGCACGTCCTCGTCTAGAAACTGCTCGACATCGAGAAGCTTGGGAATGCCCAGCTCAGTGTGGGCAACGTCAAAAGCGGTCTTGAGTGTCAGGGCTGCGTCGCCCGAGTTGAGCACTTCTTCGGGCACTCCGCCGGCTACGACGTCATTGATGAGGTGACAAAAGACCTTGCCGTCGCGGAAAGAGCCCTTAAAGTTGGTGATGTCAGTATCAAAGCCTTCGGGCATGGCTCGTCGGACCCACTGGAGGAGAGCGCGCTTGGGTGTCAACTTCTTCCCGTTCTCGTCGTACGCCAGATTATCGTCGTTGAGATACTGAGCAATGTCGACGCGGAGAATGATGACCCACAGTAGGCCCAGGACCGACTTGATGTGCCCCGAGACGATCGAGTCCGAGTCGAGGCCGTGGACCGGAATCTCGTGTTTCTCCAGCCACTCGAGGATCATGTGGACGTTGCCGTTTTTCATAAAGCCCATCCGAGGATTCTTGTTGTACCCGGACAGCTCATCGCCCGAGATGGTCTCCAGCAGCTGGCAGAGCTCAACGCCATCAATCTTGTCCCACACAAACTCCTTCTTCAGTGGCGCCAGATGGAAGTTGGCCCATCCGGTGAAGGTCTACCCACGTCATCCAAACCCGATACCACCCTATATAAGTTTCCATGGTCCTCCTCCTCCTCCTCCCTATCCCTCGCCCCGCACCCGTCTTCCGCTCCGGTCTGGCCTCTTTCAGCTCGCCGTGACTCTCTGCCCCAACGGTGGTCCGCCTTGGCACCTCGGCGGTCGACCACCCGCAGCGACACAAGACAGACAGACAGAGAGAGAGAGAGCCAGTACAGAGAGACAAAGGCGGAGACATGGAAGGTCAAGACAAACAAACATACCTTCAACTGCATCACTGTCCGTGGGTCCATCTCCTCGGACGCTGCCATCCTTCACGCCTCGTCCAAGTGCAGTCTGAATGCCTCTCAGCTGTTCGCCAGCTCACACTTTGCCCGCAGCTGATCGGCTCGGCTCACCCGTCTGACTGGCTGCCCTAGCTGCACCAGTCACTAGGCTCTAATTAATCTCCTCAGCATCTAATGTCTAGGCAAGCAACCTGTAGATGGCCCTTGTCCAAGCGATGGCAAGAGTCAATCGTGCAGTCGATAGCGATGGCAGCCGTCCTTAGTCAATTGTGATGACAAGCAGCCGTCCTTAGTCCATCGTGATGACAAGCAGCCGTCCTTAGTCAATCGTGATGGCAAACAGCCGCACGCAGTCGATAGCGATGGCAGCCGTCCTTAGTCAATCGTGATGGCAAGCAGCCGTCCGCAGTCGATAGCGATGGCAGCCGTCCTTAGTCAATTGTGATGACAAGCAGCCGTCCTTAGTCAATCGTGATGGCAAGCAGCCGTCCGCAGTCGATAGCGATGGCAGCCGTCCTTAGTCAATTGTGATGACAAGCAGCCGTCCTTAGTCAATCGTGATGGCCAGCAGCCGCCCGCAGTCGATAGCGATGGCAGCCGTCCTTAGTCAATCGTGATGGCAAGCAGCCGTCCGCAGTCGATAGCGATGGCAGCCGTCCTTAGTCAATCGTGATGACAAGCAGCCGTCCTTAGTCAATCGTGATGGCAAACAGCCGCACGCAGTCGATAGCGATGGCAGCCGTCCTTAGTCAATTGTGATGACAAGCAGCCGTCCTTAGTCCATCGTGATGACAAGCAGCCGTCCTTAGTCAATCGTGATGGCAAACAGCCGCACGCAGTCGATAGCGATCGCAGCCGTCCTTAGTCAATTGTGATGACAAGCAGCCGTCCTTAGTCAATCGTGATGACAAGCAGCCGTCCTTAGTCAATCGTGATGGCCAGCAGCCGCCCGCAGTCGATAGCGATGGCAGCCGTCCTTAGTCAATCGTGATGGCAAGCAGCCGTCCGCAGTCGATAGCGATGGCAGCCGTCCTTAGTCAATAGCGATGGCAAGCAGCCGTCCTTAGTCCACCGTGATGGCAAGCAGCCGCCCACAGCCGACCGTGATGGGCAGCAGCCACAGCGAGCACAGTCGGCAGTGACTACGGGCCCGACCGACATTCGACTCCAGAAAAGGTCATGTCCAGCCAAGAGGCAACTGAGGTCAGCACGCAGTCTGAGCTGCGGCAGCGCAAGGCCGACCACCAGCCCGGTTCAGCTAGCCATGGCAATGAAGGAGAAGGAGATGGAGGAAGAGGAGCAGATGATGTGAGGAGCAAGAGGAAGAAGAAGAAGAAGAGAGTGGTGCGGCGTCGTCCTCTCCCTCCGCCTGTCTGCTTCTTCCCCTGGTACATCTGCCTCCTCCTCCTCGCCCTCCCCTTCCTCGCTCTCTTCCTCCATGGCCAGATGCTGCTGCTTGGCACAGAGAAGCCACTCGACGCCCTTCCTAAGCACGAACTGGTCTCCGCCTTTGACTTGTACGCCCCATACTCATACCCATGCCCACGCCCCCGTCATTCCTTCTCCCCCCCGCCCCCTTCCCCGGCTCGCCTGGCACCTGTGGCTGGCTGCTGCTGGAGCACCCCCCCCCCTTTGTCGGGCAGTCCTTTTTTCTGGTCCCTTTTCTTCCCCACACTCTGCGACCTCTGATCACCTATCACTCACACACGCACACCTCTGCTTTGGCGTGCACAGCCTCGGTGACATGCATGAGACGTTGTACCACTGGTACGCAGGCCCGGCCATGAACGAGATGATCCGCAAGTGCCAGCTCAAGGATGTGTGGGGCGTGCTTGAGTTTGGTCCGGGGAATGGTGGTCTTGCTCAGTTCCTCCTCGACAAGCGAATGCCGGCCAACGCCACCTACGAGGGCTTTGAGGTCTCTGAGAAGATGTTCCACACCACCGTCCATCGCGTCTCCAAGCACCTCGACACTGGCCGTGCTTGCATCCGCTGGAAGCGCGACGACGATCCGCGCAACGACCTCGCCGTCGGCCGGACTCGCAACTCGAAGCACGGCTCGTCGCGTCTCAACTGGAAGGGCTTTGACGCCGTCATCGCCACCTACGTCCTCGACAAGATTCCGCCCTCGGACATCGAGGCCATCATCAGCTACGCCCACAAAGAGGTCCGCGACGACTACGGCCGGGTCTGCCTCGTCTCGCAGACCCGTGGCAACTCGTTGATCTCCACCTTTGTCACCTCGATGTGGTCCTCGCTCTACGCCATCTACCCGCCGCTCCTTGCCGGCTCGCGGCCCATCCGGACCCGCGACTACCTTCCCGACTCGCAGTGGAAGATCACCCACCACAACGTCATCTCCAAGTGGGGCGTCGCCTCCGAAGTCGTCATTGCCGAGAAGATCCCGCCGCCGCCGCCCACGCCCGTCATCACCGACGCCGCCACCGCCGCTGCTCTCGCCGCCGAAGCAAAGGCTGCCAAGACCTCCAAGCCGCCGGTCATCTCCAAGCCGCCGCCGCCGCCGCCGCCCAAGGAGCTGTAGATTCTCCGCCCATATTGCCCCTGTCTGTCCTCACACGCAAACACGTGCCCATTCACCTTGTCGCGATCACTCGCCTTCTCCCTCCTGTCGCTGCCCGCCTCCCCCCCTTTCAGCTCCGGCCACCACCTCACTCCCGCCATGGCAGCCCCCATCGACGACGACGCCCTAGCAGCTGCATTCACCACTCTCGCATCATCTGCTACATACCAGCACATTCAGACTCCTCTCCCTGGTCCTCCGCCTGATTGTGCACCAACAGGCGACAACATGGTCGATGAGTCGGCCAACTCGGTCGGCTCAGCTGACTCGGTTGGCTCGGACCTGCTGCCGGGGGCCTGGGAGGAGGTATCGGCATCGGCATCGGCATCGGCATCGGATGGCGAACAAGCTCCACACGTAGTCGAGACCATTGCCCCATCGCTTCCGCTGCCGCAGAGGATTGCAGACGACCCGGTCCTGGTAGACCTGCTCCACGCCTGGTACCACGCCGGGTACTGTGCAGGCCTGGTCGCGGCGCGTGGCGATGGTGGCTAGAGCCGTCAACCCTTCGTTTTACATCTTATCGGCCAAGCTCCCATGGTGCCCACGTGGAATGATGACATGTGCACCAAGTGCTGCCCGACCCTCGTGGCGGCCACAAGGAATGATGTACTCTGTTGTTCACTAAGATCAGTCCTGCAGCGACTTGCGCCGCTTGCGCGGCCGGACCAAACCGCGAGACGAGCCCATCTCCGGCAGTGATGAGAATGAGGAGCCTGTGCGCCCGGTCGGGTGCGAGCGGAAAGGGATTGTGTGATAGTCGGCGTCGACGTCGCCGACAAAGTCGTCGTCGATCTTGGGGAGCATAGAGAAGGCCGGGAAGACGCCCGGCGCTTGAGACGCGAGCTCGAGCGCGTCGCGGCGGCGCTTGCGTCTGCTGAGCGCAGTGGGGAGGCCCGGCACGTGGGCCATGCCGCCTGCGACGTCCATCGACGCTAGGCCGGCAAGGCCTGCGTCGGCGTCTTCAGCGGCTGCAGTGTCGGCGGCTGCTCCTGCGGCCAGCGCGTCTGTGATGAGCAGCGAGTTGAGGTCATCAAACTCGACCAGGACCCACTCATCGTCGTCATCGACGTCTTCATCGCTGTCCTGGAAAGCGCCAAACTGGGCGTGGCCGATCAGCAGGCCATCGTCGTCGTCGCCGTCATCGTCGTCACTGAGCGCCCGCATGTGGCGCGGCGGATAAAGATCAGCATCTTCGCCCGCCGCAGCCGCAGCCAGACCATCCATGTCTGCCTGGCCAAGGGCACAGTCATCGGCATCAGGGACAACCATACATGCGGCAAGCTTGGTAGCAAGAGCCCTTGGCTTGAGGGCGTGATGATGAGGAGGATGATGATGAGGCGACGAGTTGGGCGCGGCATGGGCAGACGAAGCCGACGCCGGACCATTATCACCAAATCGTTTTGACGGAGAATAGCCTGCAACTGGAGATGACGGTGGTGGTGACGGTGGCCGACGGAGTGCCTTGCGGACCAGAGAGACCATGGACGACATGGTTGGTAGTCAGCTCGCACGTGCGGGTATGCTTCTTGTTCACCACTTGGATAGCCAGCAAGGGGGGGGATGGAGAAGGGTACAACCAGAGGTACACCAGAGTGTGTCGTAGTATGTGGCGTGGTGGGGGGTGGAGGGTGGGGTGGGGGGGGGGTGGGGGAGTGAGGAAGGGGTGAGGACTGTTAGATTGGTCGGGTGTGGGCTGGTTGAGTGCGGTGTGGTCCACAGTCAGCGCCAATTCGGAATACTCCAAACAGTCTGACTATTTCCGAGATGGCTTCCATATTAGTTCAAATGGCTCCCCCTCCCCTCCCCCCTCCCCTCCCCCCTCCCCCCCCCCTTCCCCCCCCCTCCCTCCTCCTCTTCCTTTCCCTCCCTCGACCTCCTTACGCATTCATTGGTTGTCGTCGAATGAATCACATGCAAGTTCAAGGTCTGCTGCACAAGCTCCCGCTCATCCATCATAACATCTTCCCCATCATCACCTTCCCAGGCACACGCTGGGATGGCAGTGCCTCTACTACAGACCATGCACAGGTGTGCCGGTGTGCCGGTTTACAGCTTGGCTTGTGCGACATGGCATGTCCGGTCGAACATGCTCAGGGCGCACAAGCTGATGGCGCACATGCTGATGGCGCACATGCTGGTGGCGCATTTGCTGGGATATACTGGAGCAGGCTCTACGCGTCGGCATCGGCACTGGCCATGGCGGCGGCTTCGTCGCGGACGCGCTCCATGTAGGCGCGGCCCATGGCGAGGCGCGACTCGACCCAGGCGACCCAGTCGGTGCCATAGCGGGCGGCGCGCTCGGCCAGCGGGACGGCGCTCATGGCCTTGGCCTCTTTCCGGGTGACAAGCACGAGGTTGGCCGGGACCGATGGCGCCGCCGGATCCCACCGAACAAGTGTGAGCCGGCGCGAGGCGTGCCCACGCCGGGCCGACACATTGTGCCACATTTCGATGGCCACATACTTGGCGTCGGCCTTGGAAAAGGTCCAGCCCGGAAAGGCGGCGTCGAGCTCGGCCCCGAGCGGCGACCGCTCCGCCTCGGTCTCCTTGTGTTGGCGTGCATCGCCGGCAAGGTTGGCAAAAAACGCTCGTTGCGGTTCGGCGCGCCCTGGGCGTGGTTCACCACCTTGGACGGCGCAACGCGGGTCTTGGACGCCGGCGCATCCGGGTCGAGCGCAACCTCGTCCGGCACCGGCTCGACGGGGCGGCTGATCTCCATGACGACAAATGCCGCGAGCGCGTTGCCAAACATGGCCGGCACCATGCCGAGGACCGGAATGATCGAGACCCGAAAGTGCAGGTCCGGGAAGAGGGTGTACTCGTCGGGTGCCGCCGCGACCTCGGCCGGCAGTGGCGCGAGCGTCGAGCCGGCCGGCTCAGTCGAGTACACGCACGGGATAGGCTTGGTCAGGCCGCGCTTGCGCAGATCGGCACGGAGCCGCCGTGCAAACGCGTCAGCCGACGTCTCCATGATGTCTGCCACCCGGATGCGCGACGGGTCCGCCCGCGCGCCGGCGCCCATCGACGACACCACTGGAATGTCGTTGTCGGTGCAGTACATGAGCAGGTCGACCTTGGTCTTGCGGTTGTCGATGCAGTCGATGACAAAGTCCGGCGCCTCACCGCCCGCGCCCAGCAGCAGCTCGGCTGCGGCCTCGCCTGTGAACATCAGTGGCTTGGCCACAACCTTGACAGCCGGCGCCGACGCCGCAAACGCCGCCGCCATCGCCGTCACCTTGGGCTTGCCCACGTCCGCCCACGTCGCCGTCGCGTGGCGGTTGAGCGACGAGAGTGTCACTTGGTCAAAGTCAATCAGCACAAGCGTACCCACCCCTGATCGCGCGAGCATGTGCGCGCAGTGCGAGCCGACGCCGCCGCATCCCACCACCACCACCGTCGCCCCACGCAGCCGGCCAAAGCCCTCCTCGCCCAGGAACGCCACGCAACGCTTGAACTGCTGCGCATGAAGGAGCTCATCGTCCGCATCACATCCTCCGCCGATCCCTCCATCGCCCACGCTCTCAGCTCCAGCCCCTGCCCCTGCCCCTGCCCCTGTCTTGGTGTCCGTCCTCGTCGAAGCCGTCGACTCGCTCCGGCTGCCCGCCGCGTAGCGTGCCCCGGCGTAGAATGCAGTCGCAGCCGTCGCTGCCACCGCCGCGCCTACAGCCGCAACTACTCCTGCCTTCATGTGTGGCGTGCTCTCGAGAGAGGTGTGGCGAGAGAACGAACGTGATTCCTGGTCAGAGCGCCGGTGCGAGGGAGGGAGGGGGAGGGAGGGGAGGGAGGGTCGGTGCCTCGCCGTGGATGGCCCACAGGATCGGCCGAACGCCGAATTAGGCCAAACATCATAGCCGCGGCGCAATTGGGAGTAAAAGCGAACGACGGCGAAGAAGTAGCCGTCGAGGAGCACGTTCAGGAGCCTCAAGGCGATCGTGACAACTCTGAGTAATGCCATCAACGGCTTGCGGAGCTGGGGTGGTAGTATTGCCTCCATTGTTATCTCGCTTGGAGGCGGCTTGTTCCGTCACGGAATGCTTCTGTCAGTGTGGGACGACATCACGGCTGGGAATAGCGCCAAGATCACCATCACCACCACGCTGGTTGCTCACTCACTCCGACTCGACATCGAGCATGATGGCGTGACACAGCGGGCTGAGCTCGTCGCATTTCCACAGCTTGCGCGCATTCCCTCGGTGCTCCTTCAAAAAGAAAAGGCGGGAAGGGCGTGACACAACGCCGCCCATATTGGCGGAAAAGTGTGGAGAACGGGGACGACGACCAAGACGACACGAAGACAACGACCAACAGGATAGCAGAGAGACTGATTGGTACCTAGAGGCAGACACTCGACGCCAGGAAAGAGGCAAGCAAGGGTGAGGTTACTCGTACAAACCCGCACCCAACTACCCCCCCCCCCTTATATACGCCACCGTCATGCGGAGGTGCATGAGTTCCCTTATATACGCCACCGTCATGCGGAGGTGCATGAGTTTGGTCCTCGTCGTGCTGCTCTTGGTGGCCCTGACGAGCAACACGTACCACCTGGGCCAGGTCCCGTACCACCTGGGCCAGGTCCCGTACCACCTGGGCCAGTTGGGCCTCCACTTAATGGGTTCAAGCATGTGCTCGAGCAGCTCTATGGCGATGATCCGACTGTGCGATGGTACGCGTGGCAATGGAGAGCGCATGTTAGGCGGACGGAGGAGGGAGAAAGGGGGACTCACTTGGGTCGAGGCGGCCGTGTGTGGCCGGGTGGCGGGCGGAATGGACGGAATGGGCGATGGTCATCAGCTCACGGGACAAGGCGCTGGTCGAGTTTGCGCATCCACCGCATGGGGTGGATGGGGCATGTTCGCAGAGTTGCAATGATTGTACAAATGAGGTTGAGGCCATCATCTGCACGGCGGACGGCCGGATCGAGGTGTGGCACGGCACCGTCTGTCCGCACCAGCTCGATCCGCCGGTCAACAACCTCACCTTGACCAAGATCCTCACACCAGGCGAATGTTACTCGAATAAGGACATCCGCTCCCATGATGAGGAGAAGGGCTTTCGCAAGTTCGAGTGTCTGGACAGGTTCCCCACGCCGCCGGAGCGGTTTGTACAGGGAATCGAGTTCCATACGTGGTTCGGACCGACGCCGCCGTCCAACGAGACATGCTCGAGCCTGCACTCTCCGCCCGATGCGGTGTTTTACGCCGAGGTTGGAGCATGCATTCCCATGGATTCGGGATTCCTCACCATGGAGTGTCGGTCGGGCGTGCCGGGTGGCCTCCTTTGCTCCACCCCCGACTGTGATCGGGCCAACTGTAACGACGCCGGCTTTCCGCCGGTCGACTTTACCGTCTCGCCTGGATGCAAGCGAGGCTTTGACGACAACGAATGGGTCTACCCGCGCTGCTTTGGCTTCGCCAACTCGGGCGGCGAAGGCTTCCAGGCGTCGCCGGACCACTTTTCGTCGCCGTCGTCGTCGACCTCGATCTCGGTCTACCTCATTGTCGCTGCCGCAGTTGCTTTTCTCATTGTCGCTGCTTTCAAGCGGTCCAAGGCCTCGTCGTTTGCTCTCGCCAACCAGGACCGCCTGGTCTCGGTCAACATTGTGACCAAGATCATGCGCGAGTCGTCAATCATCGGCATTTTCGCCCACCCGGTCGGCGATCCGTACTCGTTCATTCCGCGAATCATAGGCCTGACGCTCTCGCTGCTGCTGCAGGTCTTGTCTGTGGCGGTTGTGGCTGCGCTCAATCTCGACAACCTGGCGGAGCCCGGCGGATCGATCGAGAACATCGGCTCGTCGTTCCTGCTCTCATTTGTGGTGGGCACCATCCTGTCGACGGTGCTGGGTGTGGAGCTGTTCCGGACGACAGTGCAGGACGGCCCGTTCCTTGCAGACGGGCCTAAGGTCCCGCGGGCTGTGGCCATGGCGATCGGCGTAGGGCTGGCGGTGGTGGGTGCCGGCGGCGCAGCATTCTTTCTGGTCGCCGGGCCGGAGGTTGTGGGCGACTCTCACAACATCGACGTCGGCGCCATCCTCGGCCAGATCGGTGCTACTTGGGTCTCCACGTACCTTGTCTCTGAGCCTGCGTTTATCGCTCTCAAATTTATCGCTTGGGGCGAACGGCACATGTGGTCGGTGGCGTGGCTGCTCGCAGCCGGTGGAATCGCCGGCGCAGCGTCGAAACGGACGGCCAAGGTCGGGCCGGCGCACGAGAGCGAGAGCGGAGAGGTTGAGATGACACGGGCGAGCGCAAGTGATGAGAGAAGCGACGTCGAGCATGGGTCAGGGGCCGAGCGCGCAAGCGACGACTCCCAAAGCTAGTCTGCATCCAGCTGCCATGCTCGCCGCAGGCGAGCTTTCGCATCAGTCACTGGATGCAGCGGCAGCAGCCGCGGTAGCCGCAGATGCGGCCAGGCGGGGTGTGGCCATGGCGTCGGCGATGACCTGTGCCGCCACCTGCGGTTCTTCGACGCCCGAGTCCTCGGCAATGAACGGCACAAAGAGGTCAGCCAAAGTCTCAGCGACCTCGAGATGAAGGTGGTGCGAGCCGTCGAGGCGGACGGCCTGCAGATGTGGGACGGCAGCCAGGCGCTCGGCGACAAGCTCATCGGGAATGGGCCAGCCGCGCGAGGCCATGACGAGGACGGCTGGCGCGGCGATGTTGCCGAGAAAGGCGCGGAGCGAGGGCTCGGAGATGCGGTAGGGGGCGGCCATGCGGAGCCGAGGATCGGAGCGCCAGGTAAACTCGCCGGATGGGAGCTGGCGGGTGCCGCGAGCAACGAGGGTGCGAGCGGCGTCGAGGTCCATTGCACCCTTGCCACGGAGGGCCTGGACGAGGCGCTCGGCCATGGCATCGCGCCGCGGATGTGGGCGCGGCGCCGACTTGGCAGAGGCGTACTTGAGCTTGGAGGCAACAAATGAGGCGACGACATCGACCTGGTCGGCATCGGTGGTTGCGGGCAGCGTGCCTGCGCCCTCGATGAGGACGAGTCGGTCGATGGCGTGCGGCCATGCGCCGGCGAGCATGACGGCGATACCGCCACCCATCGAGTGGCCCATCAGAGTGATGTGGGGCGGCTTGTCGGTGCCATCGGCATCGCCGGCAGCAGGCGAGACGCGGGCGGTGTGCGGATCGTGAAGGAGGCCCTCCTGGACCATGAGGCCCATGACGTCGTGGACGTAGTCGACGTAGTGGTAGTTGGCATCGGGTGCGCGCCAGGAAGAGAGCCCGTGACCAGGCAGATCGATGGCCAAGACCGAGTCTGGCCCGCCGGGCGCGGTGACCAGAAGCGGCGCGAGCTTGTCGTACGATGCCGCCGAATCGCACCAGCCGTGCAGGGCGAGGACCCTGCTGCGCGGCTCGTCGCATCCGGGCCGGCGCCACTCCTTGCCGGCAATGGTGAGAGCCCACGGGAGGCTGGCCTCAAACGGCACTGCCTCGACGGCCTCTGCAGCACCGCCAGCTCCTCCGACTTCTGAGCTCATGGTACGGACAGCACTGTTCCCGATGCTCGCCCTGCTGATCTGTGCCAGCTTCTGTCCGAATGCTGCGAGGCCGGTCGAACGCGTCACGCACCGCAGCCGGAACATGTGAGTCAAGTGCCAATCAATGACCGTGAGCGCGGGGCGCGCCGAGCCGCCGAACGCCGCAATCCGCCGCCCAAACACGCCGCACTCTTGGCGGCTGATGACGCCGTAACTACCGTACCCGCAAGATCCACCACCGCCACCACCGCCATCACTTCAGCAGCAGCCTGCCTCCCCGGAGTTGCAGTTGAGGCCAACGTGCAACGTGCACAACCGCCGTCGTACTTGGCGCCTTGGGATCCGGTGTATCCAGTGATGGCAGCCGACGCGCCGGCGAGGGCGTGTGAGGGTTTACTGGCTGGCGGAGACATGCTCTGTTCAATGTCTCGATGTTGCGAGCGAGACGCGCGTAGCCAGGCACATCGGTCAGCTGTTGTTGCGCCAGGTCGGCGGGACAAAGGGGAGGCCGAGGAGGTCAAAGACGTCGGCTTCGGTTAATACTGCGACGGGCGGGCCAGCAGGGAGACCAAGGTCGTCGACCGGGAAGATCTTGTCGTTGCCGAGCTTGTAGCCGAGCGCCAGAGCGTGGATCCGAAGCAGCCGGTTGAACATGGCCGAGCCGGTAAAGTAGAGCGAGGTGACGGCAAAGCGGGTGCGCGGGACAACGATGAGATCGAGGCGCCGGGCGAGCGGGGGCTGGAGGTGCGAGAGCGGCGAGGGGAGGCTGACAACGCCAAAGAAAACGTCAAAGTCTTCATGCTCAACCGCAAGCGAGAGCGAGTTCCGAGACGGGTGCTTGCGAGTTCCGATGCCGTAGCTCTTCCGCAGTGTGGCCTCGACGTAGTCAAGCTCGTACAGAGCGTCGACGATTTTGTCGAGGATGCCGACGAGGGCAGCCATGGGCTGCAGTTCACGGGTGGTAACTAGAATGTCCACGTCGTGGGCCGAGCTCTTGCCGCGGCGCCACGAGCCGGCCGGCACGGTGACAAGGCCGAGATCTCTGGCGTCCGGCAGCTCGTCGACGACCTTGGCGACGACGCCAATGTGGACGTCGATCTCGTCACGCGGCATGCGTGCCTGAAAGTCATCGTAGAACTTGACACCCATGGCCTGGCGGTCCGAGAGCAGGGTGCCCGACTCGCGCAAGGCCTCGACCGACTCGATGCCGCGTGCCATCCAGTGCGCGGCAGTTGACGGACCCACGCCCCAGATGCCGACCAGCCGCGACATGACCTCCCACTTGCGTGAGAGGTAAATTCGATCCAGGACCGCGCACCGGTCGGTCTTCACAAACGCCTCAATCTTGGCAGCAATCGAAGGGCCGATGCCGGGGAGCGCGCGCGCCTGCGCGGCGGTAGTCACCGGCTCCGGCGCCGACGCCAGAGCAATGGCAGCCAGCGAGTACGCCCGGTGCCGCTGCCTATCACCTAGAATGAGATACACGCCCGCCAACTCGCGCAGCAGCTTCAAGGTGCCGGCATTTTCACCACCAGCCTGCCGCTCTTCAGGCGGCTTGAGGAACGCCGCCAGGCCGACCGCGAGCGTCGTCACGTCGGCGGCCTGCACGAGCTCATCGCGCGACGCCCCGCTCACCATCTCTGCAAGCACCTCTTCGCCAATCTCGGATCCGTCGCCTGCCAACGCTGTATCCCACGTAGGCGGCAGTACATCAAGCGTAACCTGCCGCCGCACGGCACGCCCACGACCGCCGTCGCCAGCACCACCACCCGACGGCCGACGCGGAGACCGCGACCGCGACCGCGACCGCGACCTTGATCGTGACCTTGATCGTGAGCCGTGCGAAGACGGTGAGAGCGACGGCGATGGAATGATGACTGTGGTGTGTCGCCCACGGAGCCGCGGGCGGACCAACGCGGTAGCCACGATGCGTGGCGAGCCAGCTGCCGAACCGGCCGCCGACCCAGCTGCCGAAGAGAGGCCTGAAAAGGCTAGCGAGGGCGCCGCGGAGGAGACAGCCGAGGACAAGGCACCAGAGAGCGATGCCGAAAGAGGACGCAGCCGCGGTGGCGGGCTGGGACTCGGCGACGGCGAGGCCGGAACGGCAGAGCGGGCTTGGCCCGGCCTGCGGCGGGCAGCTGTCGCTGCAGTCGGCGAGCGGGTCGAGGCTGTCGCAGCAGGCGGCAGAGGGAATGGCGGAGGTGGAGACGGTGGCGATAGCGATGGTGACGGCGCCACCCCATGCCGCGGCCTGATCATGGCAAAATCAAGGGAGATGGATCGGGCGGAGAGAGAGTAATGGCAGGCGCAGGCAGGTTGGTCAAGTCGGGCAGGTTGACGGCGAGACAGCTCACGTCCACCACCGACCACTGTGACCACCACCATGTCCATCCATCACAGATGACAAATCTCCCCACAAACTCACCACACATACCACTGTGCCCTCAACCAATCGTACCACACGATTAGAGATGTCATTCAATCCATGCCTCTCCTCTCTCTCTCTCTTGCCATCTGTCGCCTTGAGCCATCCGTCTTGGGCCATCCGCCCTGGGCCATCAACTTTGGGCCATCGGCCCTCTCTTCTCCGCAGCCTTTTTCTGATCAGTGGGCAGAGCCACTCACCGCGCCGCCCCCCTCTTTACCCCTCCCCAACCCGGTCGCACCCCCCACCCCCACCCCCACCCCCCGAACCCCCACCACTATCTCTAGTACGAGGAATGGCGGCGGAACGGTACCGGGAGGATGGCAGAGACAGGCAGCCGTGCGAGTACACGCCCATCTCTGCCTGCTCGGGACAGACTGCTGCTGCAGGCGGGGGCGGAGTGCCTTTCTGTCCGACGGACCGTACGTTTTGGAAGGAAGAGGAGGAGAAGGGGGGGAGGAGGGAGAAGAGGGAGAAACTCACGTGTGGTATGGGCATGGGCATGGTGTTGGATAGCTACGCCCGAGTTCCTGGCGGCGCTGGAGGCGTCGGGCATGTTTGACCCAGGCGCAGATAGGGTCGGCCTCGAGGGCTTTGTCACCTCGGACGGCGAGGTAGTGCCGGGCCGGCTGGCGGGCCGCTCGCCGGGCACCTTTATATGGCGGTTGTCGCGGCAGAACGGTGGGCTAGCGCTGTCGTATGTGGATGCCTCGAGTGCTTCATCCACGTCCTGTATCTGCTCCATCGCGAGCCCGATGGCTCGGTCCGCATCTGCATCGACAAGGCCTCGCCGCGCGGCTTCTCGTCGATTGAGGACATTGTTGCTCTCTGGCCGCACGTCTACACTGTCTCGCTTCTGGAGCTTGAGGCTGCCGAACAGGCCGGGACCGCCGGCGCGGGCGCCTTGCTGTACACTGCGCATGGCCTGGACGCGCCCGAGTCACCGGCACACTCGCAAACGCAAGCGTCCGCCACGGCGCCCGACGACGTTTCGCGGTACAAGATGGTACGCCAGTCGGTCGAGTCGTCGTCATGTTTCGATGGAAGCGCTACTCGCGAAGAGATCGAGGCTCGGCTCGCGCATCATGCCGCCGGGACGTATGTTGTCCGCTACTCGTCATCGGTCCCGGGCGACTACACCATCTCGCTCGCCAACTCGAACGGCACCATCACACACTCGCGGCTCTCGTGTCTGGCCTCGGGCTTTTTACTGTATGACGGCCACCGATACCAGTCGCTGGCCGAGTTCCTGTCATCCAAGACGGAGGCCGGCGTGCTCTCGCAGTCCCTGATGACGTTGGAGCGAACCGAGGCTTCTTTTGGTTCCGGGCTAACTGCTGCAGGCCTTCACACCACGCCCACCAGGAGCGTCTGTGAGCCAGTCTTACCGCATGTTGCCTCGCCGATCGCCTCGCCCGTTGCCTCTCTCCGTACCTCGTTTGCCTCTGCCATCCTGCGCGCCTCGGACGAGTCGGACGGCGGATCGCCAGCCGCGCCCGTTCCGTCCGGTCGCATCACCCCACCGCACGTCGCGCCGACTCCGTCATTTATGGCGCCGCTGCCGAACCCCGCCTCACTTCCGCCGCTCACCGTCCCGCCTGCGTCCTTTGTCGATGTGCGCCCTGACGGCCGCCCGCTCGGCTCGCCGTCAATCGCACCGACCGCCCAAGCACCCGCGCCGTCGATTCCCGCCCCTGCCAAAGCCGCGGCCAAGATGCCTGCTCCAATCGCTGCCGACGAGGATGCCAACCTCTGCGTTGTCTGCATGGACAACCGCATCGACGTCATCCTCCTCGAATGCGGTCACGTCTGCGCCTGCAGCGAGTGTGCCGACTCGCTCGATGAGTGCCCTATGTGTCGGGCCAACATTGTGCGCGCAGTCAAGATGTTCTTTGCACACTAACTAAACCCTCCGCCCTCCTACACCCGTACCTGATGGTAATGATGGAATGAATGCACTCGCAGAGCCACACCAACAACGCATTGCGCTGGCCTTGGCGCCAAAAAAATAAAGAAGAAAGCCCACGCGTGTGGGAGCGCCAAAACATCGCCGTCTTCCCCCGCCCCCCCCCCCCTTCCCCCCCTCCCCCCTACACCCAACACCCTTACCCCTCTCTCTCTCCCCCCTCCACTACAAGTACTATGGTGGATCTCCTGCATGGGGTGTACACCGCTACGCGGCTCCTCGTGGGATGCTCGCCGTTTGCCCTTGCTACTGTTGTTGCTTCGTTTGCCCTCCTCTACTTTGGTCCGCTCTTTGTGGTTGTCTCGCGCAGCCGTGGCTGGTCCAACTGGGTCTACCAGGGCGCCGGCGCTGGGCTCTACCTTCTCCCGTTCTGGCTCCTGTGGTCCATTCTGCACTACGCTGACGCCACCAACTCGCTTGTGGCTGACGCTACCGACGCCTTTGTCACTCTCCGCTTCTCCTGGGTCGACGCCTACATCCCGGTCGCCATTGTGGCCGCCGTCGTCGTCCTCGTCTACGCCGTCCGCTTCGACGTCCACAAGGACAACCCAGGCGAGATTGCGCTGCTGGCCGGCCTGACTCTGGCGGCGCCGGCAGCTGGCCTTGGCCGTGCGCTCACCCTCTTCCGCAAGCTGGCGGCCGAGGGCAAGCAGCCCGGCATGTGGGCGCGCTGGTGGGCATCGCAGATCGCGGTCTCGTTTGCCACCGTCTGCTACCTCATCTGGGCCATCCGCATGTACTACTGGACGGTCTCGCCGGCGACGTGCATCACCTACCCGCTGCACTTCCGCCTCCTCCTCAACCCGCTCCAGCTGCACGTCCTCTACAACGTCATCCTGGTCAAGATTCTGGCCCTCACCGTCCTCCTCGACGTCGAGCTCCCGCTCTCCACCCACTCCACTGCGCTCTACGCCATCCACGTCGTCTTTGCCTACCAGCACTCGGCGATTGGCCTCGCCATGGTCTTTATCACTGCTGACATTGTCAAGCGTTCGTCATCCGACGCTTACGTCTCGGCCCACGCCTCGCAGCAGGTCTCGTTCTCGGCCACCGCCGCCCTCGGGCGCATCGCTGCCACCGCGGCTGCCTTCTCCACGGCTACCACTGCCTGGTTTGCCCTCAACCTCACCCAGGTCGAGGCGCTCGCCGTCCTCGGCTTCCTCCTCGCCATCCTCTACCTTGCGCCGTACGGCAACGCCCCGCACCCCGAGGTTCTCGGCAAGTGGATTCTCGACCACTGGCTCCAGACCGCCGCCCTCGCGGCCGGCGCGGTGGCTCTCGTCTTTGCCGCCTTTACCCACTGGGGCCTTGTTCCCTGGGAGGTCGAGCTCTTTTCAGAGCTCTTTGTCTCCAACAACGTCTTCAAGCTCGTCGCCCTGACCTTCAAGGTCGCTGTCGGCGGCGGCACCATCTGGGCCGCCATGGCCGTCTACAAGGCCCGCGCTCTCAAGTCGTGGCTCCGCCTCCTCATCCTCATCCCGGCTGCACTCCTCTTCCTCCACGCCCTCACCCGCTACACTGACCAGTGCTCGCTCGTGCCCGGCGAGGTGTACCCGGAGGCCAACGAGGCCCAGTCCATTGCCGAGCTCATCGACACGACGACATCGATTGTCAAGGAGCTTGACCTCAACACCGCCTACCGCGACGTCCACCGCAAGATGCACGGCTGCGTCCGTGGCGAGTTCCGCGTCAACGACTGGGTTCCCGAGCACCTCAAGGTCGGCCTCTTTGCCAACCCCGGCGAGTCATGGCCGGCCTGGGTCCGCTTCTCCAACGGCATGCGTAAGGTCCGCAACGACGCCCGCCCCGACGTCCGCGGCATGGCCATCAAGCTCTGCGGCGTCGCCGGCGAGAAGGCCGCCACCTTTGAGCCGTTTGCCGAGCCGAACACAGCAGACTTTGTCCTTGTCTCCTCCAAGACCTTCTTCGCCAACTCGATCTCGGCCTACCCCAAGCTGCTCAAGGCCATCGTTGCTGGCGGCCTCCGCACCCTCTTCACCGTCTTCACCCACACCTTTAACTCGTTCAACCCGGCCGAGTGGGACTTTTCCGTTTCCAGCTCGGCCCCATGTTCTACTCGGGCTTTGTCATGTCGAATCCGCTCACCACCGAGTACTTTTCGGTCACGCCGTACGCCCTGGGCTCAGCGCCGCCGGTCGACTCGCTCTACGACCTCCCGCTCGCCGTCAAGTACGGCGTGCGCCCGTGCGCCGTCAACTCGGCCGCCGTCGCCGACGACGAGATCGCCTGGGGCTCCTCGCCCGACTTTCTCCGCGAGGCCATGACCCGCTGGCTCGACGCCGGCGAGGCCTGCTTTGAGTTTGGCATTGCGGAGCAGGGTCTTGACGCTTGCAAGAACCCGCTCGAGGACATCGCCGTCCGCTGGACCGACAAGACCGGCTACAACGACGTCGTGTACGTTCCTGTTGCCCGCCTCACCATCCCGCAGCAGACCTTTGACTACGTCGATCAGTTTGACTTTTGCCGCGACCTCTCGTTCAACATCTGGCACACGCCGGTCTCGCACCGCCCGCTCGGCTCGATCGCCAAGGCGCGCAAGTTCGTGTACAACGCCACCGCCACCCTCCGCCGCACTCTTAACTCGGCTGTCGTCGCGCAGCCGACGTGTACCGAGACCTTCTCCGGCCGCCGCGTCGGCCAGCTCGCTGGCCAGCCCGACATCTTCGACTACGCCACCATGCCCGTCCCCTTCTCTTACCTCCCGCGCTTCATTCGCGACATCCCGCAGTCGCAGCAGTACGAGTTTAAGTTCTATTCGTCGCACGGTGCCGTCTTTGCCGGCGCTCTCGCCAAGTCGCTCCTCCGCGTCAAGGACGCGCCGCGGCCCATCTCCGAGTGGGAGTCGCCCGACGAGTGGGCCGTCGTCTTTGACGCCGGTGACACCAACTCGTCCGTCGAGGCTCTTCACGCCAACCTCTTCACCCTTCCCATCCCGTACGGCTACCACAATTGGACCGATGACATGGTGTGGGCGCGGACGTACCTGACTGGCACCAACCCGGTCATTCTCCAGCGCGTGCTCCCGACCAACCCGCTGCCTGCTGCCCTCGACATGGCTCCCTCCTCGGTTGCCGCCGCCAACGCCTTCCTCGCCTCAAAGGGTCTTCCGCCCATGGACGAGCTGAGCGAGGCCGGCCAGCTCTACTTTGCCGACTACGAGCTCCTCGCTGACGCCATCACCAAGGATGACTTTATCATGTACGCACCCGTCGTTGTCTTCTACCTCGACACCGTCAACGTGGCGCCTGGCTCTTACGCCAAGCTCATGCCGCTCGCCATCCAGCTCACCCGCGGCACCCGCGCCGCAGAGGCCGGCCCGCATGTCTGGCACCTCCCGTCAGACCCGGCCGAGTCGTGGCTCTTTGCCAAGATGCACGTCGCGTCGTCCGACGTCCAATGGCACGAGGCCGGCGCCCACCTCGGGCCCATCCACCTCACCATGGAGCCGTTCCTCATCGCCTTCTTCCGCTCCTTTGCCAAGGACCATCCCATGTACGTCTTCCTCAAGCCGCACACCTACGACACTTTTGCCGTCAACAACATGGGTCGCTACTCGCTTGTCGCTCGCAAGGGCGCCCAGTTCGAGAACCTCAACTCGATTGGTCTCGACGGCGTCCTCGAGCTCATGGAGCGCAACTACAACGACTACTGGACCTGGGAGGGCTTTGCCTTTCCGCAGGAGCTCGCCGATCGCGGCTTCACCAAGGTTACCCCGGGCTCGCCCGACGACCCGCTGCCGGGCTACTACTACCGCGACGACGGCTTTGTCCTCTGGGACGCCATCGAGAACTACGCCAACCGCGCCGTCGACATCATGTACGCATCCGACGCCGACCTTGTCGCCGATGACCAGTTCAACGGCTTTATGGCCGAGCTCCGCTCGCCGCACGGTGCTAACATCACGTCCATTCCGGATGTGAAGACCCGCCCCGAGCTCGCTCGCTTCCTCACCCGCTTTCTCTTCACCGTCACTGCCCAGCACGCTGCAGTCTCGCTCTCGCAGTACGACTACTACGCTTTTGCCCCGTCGCGCCCGACCCTCATGCGCAAGCCGATGCCCATCAACAAGAGCGAGGTCACCCTCCGCTACATCATGGACTCGCTTCCCGACGCCCGCACCGTCACCCACTCGCTCGGCCTCGTCCGCCTCCTCTCCACCCCGACTCTCGGCCCCGGCGGCTCGTACTCGTCGCTCCTCCAAGTTCCGGTCGCCGATATGTTCAAGCCGGCGTACCTGCCGTTCCAGGAGCGCTGCAAGGAGATCGAGGCCAGCATCCTGGCCCGGAACGCCGCCGCCGAGGACCCGTATCTCTTCCTGCGCCCGTCGCAGGTCCCGTACTCGCTCTCGTCCTAAGGCTTGCGTGGGCACATCTGATAAATGAACAACGATTTTGTGCTCTCTCCTTCTGCCTCTTGTCGCTCTCTCAAGTTCCGAGGTTTGTTCACTTCTTTTTATGCAAGTTGTGCAAGTTTGTCTCATTCTTGCATGGCCGTCGCCTCGCTCCGCAGGCGCTCGAGCAGCGCATCAGCTACGACAACGACTTCTGCAGCCTCTGGGCGGTCCTTGGGATCGGGCGCCATCATGCGGCCAATAATGTCGAGGAGAGCATTGTAGGTGGCAGCTTCCGCCTGTGGCGCGTCGAGCGCGACATACCGGCCGTGGGCCTCAGAGACCTCCAGGACCGGTCCGAGCGAGCCAGAGCGGAGCACATGCCACATTTCGCCTCGCGACGGCAAGTCAATGCCGAGAAGGAGAGAGAGGCACATGATGCCGAGTGAGAAGACGTCGCACCACGGGCCAACCAACGACGAGTCCGACTTGAGGAGCTCTTGTGACATGTACTTGGGGTCACCGTCCTCGAGCATCGACGACGACCGCACCAGCGCCGGCGGGCGGAACGGCTGAAGCAGACGCAGATGCGGCGCCGTGCCGTCGTCGTCGTCGTCCGACGATGAGTCCGAGTCAGCACCCGCAGACGGGAGGATGTGCGAGATGCCAAAGTCGCCGAGCTTGAGATTGCCATCGCCGTCAACAAAAACGTTCTCCGGCTTGAGATCAAGGTGGACGACGCCGCGCGACGCCGTATAGTCCAGCCCTTTGCCGAGGTCATGAAGGGTGGAGAGCACAAACTCGAGCGGGAGCGCCATCGTGTCCTTGAACTGTGTCTCGAGGTAGTGCTCGAGCGAGCCGCGGGCGCAGTCCTCCATCTGAATGTGCATCACGCCGGCCTCCTCCCACGCCTTTTCGTAGAGCACCACGTGGTTGTGCGGCGGGACACCGAGCTTGCGAATGACCTCGACCTCGTGTTTGAGCGAGAGGCCCGGCAGGTGGACGTCGTCAATCTCCTTCTTGACCACGAAAAACTTGTCGATCGCCGCCGAATGGACTCTGAGAACCTCGGTAAACTTGCCTTTGGAGACAACTGCCACCGAATCAAACTCGGCATGAAAGCCGAGCGCGCTCTTGGTGGCCGACGGCATCGCAGGCGGCAGGCCACCAGAGAGCGAGGCGTACAACCGGGCTTCGACAGACGACTGCGTCCGTTCGTGGCGGCGCGCGAGCGAGGCTCGCGCCACCCGCTTCCTGCTTGGCGACGCCGTTGTCGACGACGGCAGCGAGTACGGCGCTGTGGACGCGAGTTCATACCGCAAAGACGACGACATCGGCGGGTGCGCGGCCTGCTCGCCGGGAAATACCTTCCGTCGCGAAACGATTGGCAGCGGCGAGGCGAGCGGCCGTCGGTGCGCCGGGCGCATGTAGTAGACCTTGATGGACGAGTCGCGCCGCCGCCGGACGTACGGCGAAACCTTGCGAAGCGGGGACGGCGGGCAGGCCTTGGACGACGGCGGCGCCGAGTGCGGATGCTTGCGAATGCGCGGTGAGAACGAGGGCGAGCTCATGTTCGGCGAGACAAGCGACGGGTTGCCGAGGCCCGACGGATCGGGCCGCGGTCGCGAGCGAGCGCCAAATGACGACCCAGTTGCCCGCCGTGGCGTGCCTGTCACCGAGCCGGGTCCCGAGCCAGCGCCAGCAGAGGCATCAAAGCCGGCCGGATCCGGCTTGGGCAGCGCGCGCGCCGTCCGAGTCGGCCGCGGGCGGGGTCTCCCGGGCAGCCGGGTTCCGCGCTGCCCCACCACGCCCAGCGGTGGCACGGGCATTGGACGCGGCGCACGCTGCGGCTTGGGCACCAGCGCAACTGGTGGCGTGTCAACAGGAGCGAGTGCTGGCGGCGGCGGCGGTGAGCGGGCAGGCGACTGGCGCGGCGCCGGCTCGGCGCAGGGCGAGGGCGGCGGCGAGAGGGCCACCCGCGAGCGCGCAACTCCAGCGACGGGGGACTTTCGCATGAGCAACAACAACCGAGCGGGGGCAGACAATGTGGGGCACGCGGGGAGTGGGAAATGAGGGATGTGAGGAGAGGTGGCAGGCCGAGTGCGGTGCCTGCCCGCCCGGGACGTGAGCCCGCCAGTTTGGCGCGCAAAAACCGGTTGCGGAAGATTCTTCTGAAGCAGTGCCACGCCGACAGCGGGGGAATCCGTGGGGCGCAGCGGCTGTACACGCCTGGAATAGGGGATGCGGGGCCGGCAGTAGGAGTGAGAAAGGCAGAAGCAAGGCCAGAGGGCATGGGACATGCCGGAGGGGAGGATAGCCAGCAGCAGACGGTAGGGCAGCCGTGCCGGGGTGGCGGCGGTGTTCGGCCAGTGTTCGGTCAGAGAGTGACAGCAGAAGCGGTGCCAGCTGCCACTGGCGGCGGCGTGCCGGCTGGGTGGTGGGCCCGGAGCCGGCCAGGGGTGGCCATCTCGCCCTCAGGTCACACGGGCGCCGTGGCCCCCCCTGGCCCACAAGTCACACTTGGCTCGTCAGCAGCAGCTTCCGTCTCGTCTGCGAGGTCAATGGCGATGGATAGTGGGCTGTGGATGGGGCGGCAGAGTCGACGGGCGAGCGTGGCATGGTGGTGGGCGGTGGTGGTGGGCACGGTGGCGGTGGCGGTGGGCGTGGTGGGCGTGGTGGGCGTGGCAGCGACAGCGGCGGACGGGTCGGTGGAGGCGGTGGGTGGAGGGCCGGACGAGAGCAAGGCGGCGCATATCTACGCGGCCGGATATGCGGAGCACTCGCTGAGCAAGCATGTGCGGTGGTACGACAATGCGCTGGCGCGGGTGAATCCGGCGACTGGGGCGGTGGCGCAGGCGGCGGCGTATCCGGGCCTCTTCTCGCAGCTGCGGACGTACTCGCTGGCGGTCAACTCGCTGACGCTCAACTCGTACGCGCTGCTTGGCGGCTTTCTCCCTGCCACCAGCAACTTTACGGTGGTGGTCGGGTATGCCAATACTGACGTCGGCGTTGCCTTTCTCAACACGGCGCACGAGCTGCTTCTGGCGCTCGCGGTCGAGCCGGCGTCGGGCGTGCTGGTCGGGGTGGCGGTCGACACGCGGCCAGACGCCCCGCCGCGGCTGCGGATTGTGACCTCGGCCGGCGATGCACCCAAGTTTGGCACGGCGCTCGAGGTCGAGCTGAAGGCCGCGCCGCTGCCGCACGGCGTGGCTGATCCGCGCGGTGCAGCAGCGGTGGTGGCGGCGCCGGGCAACGGGACAGTCGCCTTTGGCCTCGTTCTCTCCCCTGACCTGTATGTGTACTGGGCGGTCGATGTTACGTCGGCAGGCAACGTGACAAGTCGGACGCTCCACGTCGACGAGCGCAAAGCAGCTCGCGAGCTCCACCCGCTGTGGGTTGTGCACGTGCCTAAGCTCGAAACGTTTGTCGGCTACCTGGCACGCAATGGATCGTCGCTCCCGCCGACGCTCGCCATTGTCGACCCGTACACGCTCGAGATCCAGACGCCGCTGAGCTCGCCGGCGATTCCGCTGGTGCCGTCGATGGCGTGTGTGGGCCCCGAGTCGTCGACGATTCACGTCCTCTCCAAGGGCGTCATGTTTGATCTCGACGCCGCGACCGGAACCGAAGTGGCTACGACGCCGATCAACGTCGGCAACTTTGTCTTTGCTGCCGCCGTGTACGCGCCGGCCGTAGGCAACGGCGGCAACTGATCATCCTTTTACTGCGGTGCTGTTGTTCTCAGCGACGCGGGTGCGCCCCGATCATTTCGGCCTGCATTTGGGCGAGGAAGGCCTTTTGCTTGGCCTTGCAGCGAGCGGTGGCGCGCTGCAGCGCCTGGTGGCGCTCCTTGAGGTCGGCGAGCTGGTTCTGCAGGTCGGCCGCCGACGCTGCGCGCTTCTCAAAGTCACGCAGCAGAGCATAGTCGCCGACTAGGCCGGCCTTGTCCTTGAGATGGGTGTGTGCGGTCCGCAGGGTGTCGCGGCGCGACTTGAGCTTGGAGAGCCGCGCCCGCGAGGCGGCAACCTCCTTGCCGACACGGGTGACCTCCTCGCGGAGGAGCGCGTTTTCCGAGACCACGTACGCCAACTTTTCCTTGATGTGAGTCAGAATCTGGACGGTGGTCGTCTGCTTCCGGTGGAGGCGCGAAAGCTCCGAGGCGCGCTCGTCAAGCTTGTCGTTGTACGTCTGGTTCTCGATCTTCTTCTGCTCAAAGTCGATGAGGTGCAGACCGTTCTCCTTCTCCATGGCCTCGATCTGCGCCTGCAGCGCGTCTTTCTTGTGCGAGAGCTTGATGTTGACGAGGCGGACTGAGGAGACGTCCTTGTTCTTGGCCAGCTGCCGCCGCTCGTAAAACTGGATGAGCTTACTCGGCATGTGGGTGCCCTTGCGCGAGTGCTGCGAGGCGCGGGCGATCTCGCGCTTGTTCTCGTCAAACTGCCGGCGGAGCCGCGCCTCGTCGGCGCGCTTGGCGGCCAGCTCGGCCTCAATCTCCTCGATCTGCGCGTCGTACGCCGCCTGTTCGCGCTCCATCTGCTCGCGGACCTGCTTCAGCGACTCCATGGCCGACTGGTACGTCTGCTCGTGGTCAGAGGTCGAGACAATCGACGACGCCTCCTGGTTGATCTTCTCGGCAGACTCGTTCTCGCGGTAGTACATGGCCACGTTGTGCTGGAGTTTGACAGACTCGGCCTCGAGCTCGGCTTGCTCCACAAGCGCTCCGTGGAGCAGTTCGACAAGGTGCTTGCGTGAATAAATGGCAAAGACGTCGAGCTCGCCAGCGTCCGACGCCTCGGCCTCGGACCGCGACCCGCGCACGCCGTGTAGAACAAGCGCGCTGTTGGCAGCAGCCACCTCCTCGCCATCGGAAGACGCCATCTCGGACCATGCCCGCATCGACGGCTCAGTCGACGGGTCCGACCCAAACGACCGGCCCGTTGTGTCGGCGCCCGACCCGTTGGGCGAGCCCGGCGAGAGCGACGGCAGTGCCAGCGGCGGCAGCACAAGCGGCGGCGACTGCGACCGCGACCGTGACAGCCGCGTCGTCAGTGCAAGCTCGGATGCAGGATTCGTCACAGCAGACGACGCCACCGAGGAGACCGACATGGCGTCCGCCGGCGGGACCGCCACCGCCACCGCGCCGTCCAGGCCCAGGAGCCCGGCCTCATCCCCCGCGTCCGAGCCCGGGCCTTCAGCAGAACTCCCGCTGCTGGAGCTCGAGCTCGAGCTGCTCGAGCTGCTCGAGCTGCTTGACGGCCGGGAGCTGGAGGCCGGCGACCGCGGTGTGGCAGAGGCCGGGCCGGGGAAGTCGGCGGTGAGAGCCGTTGCCTCGCCTGGGAGCGCCGGCGAGAACGGCTGCGGCGGGACGAGGACCGAGTAGTAGCCCTCTGGGGTGGGCGGCGTCGACGGCTGTGATTCGTCTGCCATGAGTGCTTGTGTGTGTGGGTGGGGGGGGGGGGAAA